AGCAACAACAGGTTAGAGTCCACAATAATATCTTACAATTGTAAAGAGAGAAAATAAGTGAAAAATGCAGTTCAAACAGCAAACAGAGGAGTTATGAAGAACCCTGAAAGTTAGTTTATCTCCAAATACTTCCTGCAAGCACCTTAGTTTGTAGCATTTTTGTGGTGTTAAGAAAGCCTGCAGTTTCTGCTACCTATTTATTAGCTGGAAAATGACCATTGCCTGTCAAACATTGTAAGTAGGTGATTAGAAATGCAATTGTTTTGCTTAAGATATTTGCATTCTACTCTCTATGGATCTTTTTTTTTTTTCCTTGGATGAGCTGGGAAAGTACTCGGATTCATCTTAACAGATGAACCTGTTCTTGGTCATGCTAAAATGCCACGTGTTATACCAAATTCACATGTAAGATAAATAGTTCTTGGAAACCTGTCTCAGCTCTTGGAGAGTGCTTAAAAGTTTTGAAATATAGACTTTATCAGTTTGAAAGTGGTGCTTCTTAAGAGCATTTTTTCTGCAGGCATGAACACATAAATGTAGTCTTTTAGAGGTGTAACTCTATTCCTATAATGAAGGTTGCAGTTCAATTGTCTTTTTCTTTGTTTTTGTTGTTTAGCCCCACCATTTTGAATAAACCCCAGTTGTTCAGTTGTCATTTATTTTTCTTCTTTCTCCTGGAGGTTGGGATGGTGCAGGTTGTGGTTTTGGTAACCTCACATGTCATCTAATCAAGTACTATATATATGGTTACAAGTTTCGTTATGTTTGCTTTCATCTGCTCATGTTTTTCACCTAGCACTCCTCATGTTAACACTTGGTTTGGTTCTTAGGAGAGAAAAGGATTCAGTATGTTCCTTTGCTTTCTGTATAGGTTGCACCATTCTTTTTTGCTTCTTATTCTCAAATTCAGTATTTTAGCATTACGTATTTGTCTTATTACCAGGAGAAGTCTGTCTTTGCAAAGTGTGTCAGACATTGCCGTTCAAGAGATCCAGAAGATTCTTGTGGTGCATCCGATGCTTGTTCTAACTACAAAAGCAGCAAGTTTACAGGATAAATTTACATCTCGTGAAGTTATTAGGTTGGATTCAGTTCATTCCATCTATACCGCCAGGGAGCAACAACAGGTTAGAGTCCACAATAATATCTTACATTTAAAGAGAGAAAATAAGTGAAAAAGGCAGTTCAAAATGAACAGCAAACAGAGGAGTTATGGAGAACCCTGAAAGTTAGTGCATCTCCAAATACTTCCTGCAAGCACCTTAGTTTGTAGCATTTTTGTGGTGTTAAGAAAGCCTGCAGTTTCTGCTACCTATTTATTAGCTGGAAAATGACCATTGCCTGTCAAACATTGTAAGTAGGTGATTAGAAATGCAATTGTTTTGCTTAAGATATTTGCATTCTACTCAGGGCAGTTGTCTATTGAGAGTAACTTGAACTCAAGGACCATTAGGAGTAGTACTAATGCTCAACTGTATCGGGAGTATATGCCTTCAGTATGGCAGGTAACCATATTATATATGAAAATCTTGTGTATAGCCAGCATATTCTTTTGTTTTTTTGGTGTTCTTCGTTTTTAGTTAAAGAGAGTAAGGATCCATTGTGTTCCATATAGCATAGCAACCTAAGAATGCAAGAGTTCAAATGTTCTAGCTAAATTTTAGTACAGCCACTTCACTCTATAGTAGAGGGTTCTCTTGCATCTGCTTTTGCCCTATCAGAGAAAGAAATTCTAGGGATGGTTTATGGATATCTTTTCCTATCTAAAAAAATCATTTGTTGGGCATCTTGTTCAGGCTAAGCATTATAATAAACTATTTCTTTTTAAAGTTATAGTGATTTGTTAATAGAGATGAACTGAGAAAAGTGGAGGACGAACCATCATGATTGAAGTGTTGGAAGACAATGTGGACCTAAAATCAATTTAGCAAAATAAAGAACATAATGGAAGTAAAAAATTCATATAGGCGAAATATATTAGATTCAATATTTGCTAGGAATCTGTTGGTTTTTTTTTCTTAAAAACAATTTTGCATGTCAATGGAAACACAAGAGAACTCAAAAGGGCCATGTTTTTGAATTTTGGGATGGAATGGGTTCAACTGAAATGGATATAGTAAGTATTCATATAGCAGACCCAATAGACGTTGGGGCCATTTTTTTTCCACTTTTCCCCTTGCTAACACTTGAAAAGAAATGGGGAATTTTCTGTTGGAAGAATGTACAAAAGAGACCTGGCAACACATCCGGGGGGCATTTTTGGACCTTGGATGCGTGGACAATTTGGTATGGGGCCCAACATCAGAAATGAGAAATGGAATAGGTCCTGCTCTGATATCATGTAAAGAAATTGATTTTGGGCCTAACTCAACCTCAAGCTGAGGATTGCCCAAGCCATAATAAAGAGACCTCCCATCCCTTAAAGGGACAATGTGGGGCTCTTCACAGCTCTGAATGTGTGTCGTGTTAATTTCTTGCAAATATAACATAGGGTGGAAATATTTCAGTGTTAATATCTTGCAAATATATTGTCGGATGGAAAGACTATTATATTGAAAATGTTGTGCTAAAGGAACAAAATCCAATTAAAACAGAAACAATCAAAGAATGGTGGAGTTTCTGCCGAAATTGGTGGTTCTTGCAAGTGATGGTTTATTACGAATCAGATGGAATTGGAAATCTTCCACTATAGACCTTGAATGTTTGGAAAGTCGGACATAATTTATGAATGAGAGTGTCAGTAACTTCCCTTTCTCCTGGTATGAATAAGTGTGGACTGTGATGTATAGATGAGAAATAGGTAACAGAAAGGCACTATAGCTATATAGGAGTAGTGGAAAATTTTCATAACACCTCTCTGGTTGAGCATCAAAAGAAATGTTAATGCATGGTATGCTGATTCAGGGAGCAGCAAATTTAGTTTTGATAATTCATTCATTGCAGCTTTTTGGATGAAGTCGGACACAGACATTTTATGCTGGGAAAGCTTTTGTTTATGAAATGCTTTTACAAATAATAAGCGTGGAAGAACATGTGTATTTCTCTTGTAGAAGAATGTCTGAGTACTTGGTGTATTTTCCCTTTTATGTTTTGACCTTAAACATCAGGAATCATGAGCTTCTGAAATTAGTGCTCCATAAATAGATGCTTTTTCATTCCGTCGAAAATCGATTTTAAGGTATAGACGCTTGTGACCTCTCCCTCTATGCCTTGTCGTTGCAGCCTTTGACAGGAATACCAGGTTCACTTTTTTCATGTTACAATCTTATTAGCAACATGGGCATAAAGAGGCACCCATATACAAGAAATACACCCAAAAAAGTAGAAAAACCTACAAAAAGATATGGTTTTCTACAAACGACACCCAATCATCTATATATAAAAAGAATGTGGGAGATTTGACAGGAATCCCACATTTATATAACTGTTTTTCTTCAATTGAACATTGGACTTTAAGGGGTTTATTAACCTTAATAATCTTTTCTGGTTGTTGCAGTCCTTTGTTTCACACAGAATACTTGTGCGCCCTTCAGGTATGGCTCAAAAATCATTTAGGCCAAGACCACTTCTTGCTCTTATCATGGATAAAAAGAATTGGCTTTGTCATTATTCTGCAGATGATAGTAAATATCAAAAGAAGTCCATCTATTTATCGGAATGGCTGTTGCCATCCTTGAAGTTATCAGACAAATTTACAATCAATGATGTATGTGCAATCTAAGATTTGAGTTTTTTAAAATGATGTTCCATCTGTATTCAAGAAGTCATTCTCCTGCTTCACTGATGTGCTTGGCTCAAAATGTAGGATGGCACATACATCGTATCGTGAAATTCACATGATTTTAGACTGGCGTTTCTCAACCTGAGGTCAAGCATGTAAATTGAAGCCCAAAATGAAATTCCGAAAAGGTCACTTGCTCATCTGGCAGTAGTTTCAACTGTAAGTTAATTTTGTCCATGTCCCTCTCTCTTCATATATACTTGGTTTTGTGTGGATATAATTTATTCAATTACTCTCTGTGGCATGCTAAAGGAAGTGAGATGCAATTATGGAAGCTTTCTACCTATTCAGATTCTAATGTGAGGTATACCATATTGAGACATGTTCGGCATGAAATGAACCCGGAAGGGAAGCCACAGGAGCAGGAGTGGAGAGAAAGCAAAAGAGGAAAGGTGTTTTCCCATTTGATTGATCAACTCAGAGTTGGTCCAAAATTTAGAGTGATGTGAAAGGTGATTTGTAGGACTCAAAGGTCTTTGCAAGTTCTGGCAACCTGAGAGAAGATGACATCCATCTGCTTTCCACCAGCCAGTGTAAATGACAACCAAGGCAAGAAAGAAAAGACCTTAAATAGTTCTCGCGTAACTTGGTGATTCTTGAATGTTTCTGAGTTTGTGACACAAATCTGGAGAGGAGGAAAAACTGGACAGTGAAGCAGAAGCTGGAGAAAGAAGTTAAAGCTGCATTTTTCCAATTGGCAATCTTTCGTGTTGCTTTTGTATATAAGATAATAACTAGGAATGACAAGAAGTCTTGTTTGGGGAGTTCTTACGATATATGCTTTGTTTTTAGATAAATTAATGAAATGACTCGACTCGCTGACCAAAATGGTCATTGGGAAAAAATTTACTCGTACCTTGTATTTACACCAAGCATATGAATGCAAGACATGTATTTAGTACTATGGTTAAAATTCTTTATTTTTCTGTAAATATAAGGTGTAAGTGGCAGCAAATATCTCAAGTATAACACATAATCATGGATAATTTCTTTTTAAAGAGAGTTAGAAGTAGATTAGTTTAATATTTTAAATTTTTCATATGCTCTAAGGTAATCTGGGTATGTTGTTGCTTTGACTAACAGCAAATCCCAATGTTAGAATTTACATTGAAATTTTAACTACATATTTTTGCTTAATGAAATATTAGGCGATTTATTTCCATATGTTCTAAACTCTTAGTCTTGATGGATAGAGTTACCTGATACTTGTTGTTGGTGGGAGGTAATAGGTATTCCGTGGAATGAACATTTGAACTTGTAATCCAGGAAGTTAATGTATGAACTGTGAGATAAATCAAAACTCCGTACTTTCAAGTACTTGACAATCCATAGGTAGAACTACATTTTCTTATCCTCGAGTGTACTCGAGAGCTTGATTTGTACAATACATTTATGCTTTAATACATTACTTGTTTGATAAATGTCCGAAAGAAATCATGTCCAAGTAGTACATGTATTCATAGAAATTACGAGCAAGTTGGAAATGGATGGGTTGTTTACATATAGAAGTTAGCTGGTCACACGAATAATTTTCGAGAAATTTTGATGGATATGAGTAGCATGTTTTGTTTGCATAGATCAATGGAGGCAGTGGTTTATGCATTAATGTTCCCCTGTTGTGCATATTAATTCTATTTGTTCAGATGCTAACATATAGCCATGTTTACAGTGGTATAGGAGGCCTCTCCTTACACGTAACAACATCGTCCAATACGTTACTTTGATTTGTCTGTACGCAATTGGTCAGTTGATGACTAGAAACTTGTAACTGCTAGAGCAAAGGTTCCCTAGACTACACACCGGTGGTGCCAATTCAGGTATATCTATGAATTGTATCTGATACTTTCTGCACAAAAATTCATTCTGTAGATACTTTTGCAAATTCTCTGACATGACTGAATGTGGTAAATTCTAAGGTAATTATATTATTAGTTATGGCGGAGATAATTTTATTGTGCGGCAAATCAAACATTGTATTATATTATACTAGAGGGTGTTGCATATGTAATAACTTTTGTGAGAGTGTTGATATTAGAATCATGACAGATTGACAATAAATATTTTGGACACGGAAAAGAGTTGCGAAAGTAGCAGCTAAACATAATGACTTAACACATATCTAATGAAAATACTAACATCAAGCTTCACCACTTGTACTGACTCTTGACATTACAACTTTAGATGCAGGAGTTTATCCATAATTAAGGCTTCCATTCATTCTAGTTCTGATATTACCGTCAACTCTTGCGTAGAAGGACCTACATGGGTGGTGTTTCTTGTTGTAAAAGGAGAAGGAACAGTTAGGTTGCTCACATCTCCTTCTAGCATTTGAGTTACAATTTTGATGGATGGCCGATCTGTCGCATTCCATTGGATGCACCAAAGTCCTATAACAGCCAATTTCCTTACAATTATAACATCATCATCTTCCTCAATCCTGATTTTCAACTCTTCTCCTTGATTCAGCCGCTGATGAATCCACTCGGGAAAGTTCATTTGGCTAGTATCCGCTTTTGCATCAAAATTCTTCCTCCCTCCAACCATTTCAAGTAGCATCATTCCAAAGCTATAGACATCAGATTTATGAGACGCTTTTCCGAAATTGCTTGACAACACTTCTGGTGCAATATAACCCATGGTTCCTCTAGCTTCAGTCATAGTGACAACACTTTTCTCTTTAGAGCATAACTTGGCAAGACCAAAATCAGAGATCTTTGGGTTCAAGTTATGGTCTAACAGAATATTTTGAGGCTTGATATCGAAATGAAGGATTTGTTGGTCACATCCTTGATGAAGATACTCTAACCCTTTTGCTATTCCCATAGCAATATCATGAAGCTTCTTCCAAGTAAGGGTGATATTATCTTTGAAACTTGAAGGAAAAATGAGCTTGTCAAGTGACTGATTTGGCAAGTATTCAAACACTAGAGCTCTTCTAACTCCATCAGCACAAAAGCCAACTAGGCGAACCACGTTAACATGATGGATTTTCCCCATTGCTGCAACTTCATTAATAAATTCTTCCCCATTTCCTTCAGAATCATTGAGAATTTTTACAGCAACATGAATTTCATTCGAAAGTGTTCCTTTATAAACGATCCCGTAAGCTCCCTCTCCCAATATTTCCTGAAACTGATTTGTTATCTTTTTAATATCTGCATAAGTATATCTTGTCGGTCTGCGATCTCTATAGTCTTCCAAGAACTTTTCAACTCTGGCTTGATTCTCTCTTTCAATTTTGCTTGAGCTGTAACACTCATAGAATGCCATCATAATAATTCCCAAAAGAACGAGACCTATAACTCCACCTGGAACATATGATCTCACAAATTATCAGAAGGCAATCAAAAGTATGTAAGGGAGAAAAAATAATACCAAAACTCACAAGAGTACATACCTGCAATCAGTGGTTTCTTTCCGCCGCCTGTCAGAATTAAATCAATTTTTTTGTTATGGAATAGAGAAGTACATGATCATGGCATCAAACAAAGGTAAATTTTTTAATGAGTTAATACCTTTTGTTGTGAACGGTCGATCGAAACACTGAGTAGTCAGTTGTTTAGTATAGTTCTTGAAGCCACAATCCTTTTCAAGACCTTCACAATAGCTACAGTTTGGATTACCCCAACTGAGTCTTATCGAACTGTAAATTGTATCGTAGAGAAATGACGGAATTTCATGAATCTTTTTGCAAGTTGCAGGGGGGAGTGAATCCAAAGAATAGTAAACAGCAAATATTGCTTTGTCAGAGGCACAATATGGATATAGGTTCCGATAATATGCTGGCATACCAGAACAATTGAAGACTGAAATGTCATGTGGTGTATAAAAAGGGTCATCAACAGTGAAGGAGAAAGGAGATTCTGATAAATTAAGGTGCAATAGCTTGAGAATGAGACAACGTTCAGGATCAGAAAGCCTAATCTGCTGAGACATATAATCAATTTCTTCAACAATTAGTGTAAGTGAATTGGGAAGTATGAGTATGGTTCGGTTTTTGAGGTCACAAGATAACTCAAAGCCTGGATAGCCACAATATTCTGGCTGGTGGTGAAGCCTGAAGGGAAAATGAATTATAGGGCCATGTCTTCCACACCTGGAGACACTGCAATTATATGCTCCTTCACCAACCATAGCCAACAATACTATGATGATGAGAAATAAGTGCAAGAGGAAAAAGATGGTCATCTCGACTGACACGGCTTGTGGACTCCCTATGACACGGCCTTCTCTAATACCAAGTTTATTACTCCCCAAACCTGGTGAGGCAGCAGCTAATTTGTTTTTATCAATTGAAGCTCTAGATATGTGATTACTCTCAGTGTGGAGTTCTCTTTCATTTAATGTTTTGATTTTTTCCACTCTTTTATCAAGAAAAGACTTGTGCCTCCAAGATTGACTATGAGAGACGTGTTGAATAAGTAGACACTTAAATTTTCATAAAATTGAATAAGTAGTCACATGCAACCTATGTGACATAATACATATAGGATGTCACATAGGATGCAAATTGTCACGTAAAACGCCAAGTAGTATGTGTGTATACTTGTTCAACTCTATACAAGCTTAAGTGTTTACTTGTGCATACCAAAGTTGGAGGGCATACATGTCAGATGAACCCAAGTTAAAGAACATGTTTATGTATTATATATGCCTTTCTTTTAAGGGCATCTCCAACCCAAACACCAAATTTGGTGTCAGCACTATTTTTTGTGTAATCAACTCCAATCCACTGCACCAAATTTTACACCAAAAAGGAATATATTTCTCTCTCTTCATTATTGATATATTATTTCTTATTTCATAAAACAAATTTTTTCAAAAACATTCACCATATATAATTCATATTATTTCCTTTTATAATCGTTTAATATAAAATTATTTGTACCATAATTTTTTAAATAATATAAATTGCTAGCAAATATTATACATTATACATAATAATAGATAATACAAATAAAAGTGAAATCATTAATGAAATACAATTAAATAAACATTACATAATTGAAAAAAATATTTTAAATTCTACATAAATATTCAACTTTCAAGATCACTATGGTGCTCCCATAAATGCTCTATTAATGCATTACGTAGCTCAAAATGAGTCTTTTTTTGTCCTTTTATTTTTTTTATATCAAGCTAGAAATTTGTTGAAAATTGATAATTTTTTCTGAATGTTAATTGTAGTTATATCCAATTATTATTTATAGTAGAATTAACTATAAATTTAATTTTAAAAAAAAGTCATATATAGAAAAATTAATTCATAAAAAAGCTAAATTTTATATCTAAAATTAATATTATAAAAATATTACATAAAAATAATTAAATATACAAGAGATTTAATTAAACATACAATTTATATAATGTTTAATTAAAAGTTTGTATAATGAAATAATATTAAAATATTTAAAAAGTGAATTGGTGTGATGAATAGTGTTACACCAAATTTAGTGTTGGGTTGGAGATGGTCTAAGTAGTATTTAATGACTTACCGGACTTGCCATTGTTCTTTTAGGATTTAATGACTTTATTGGTTTGGCAGCAGTAGGGAAATACCCTAATAAAAATATAATGTCTGGAGTAACCAAGTTTCTTCTTACAATCCTCATATTCATGTACCTCTCAGAAACCCCATTAGCAGAACAAAGACAGCAGTGTGTTCCTTCTAGTTGTGGGCATATTCATAACATCAGTTATCCCTTTCGATTGAAAAGTGATCCAAAGCACTGTGGCCTTAAAAATTATGAATTGAGCTGTGAAGGAGATAACACCATAATCACAATACGGCTAAATGATTGGAATGAATCACTGAACTACTATGTTCAAGCCATCAATTACGATAACTCCACTATCCGCCTTGTTGATCCTGGTATAAGAGAACAAGTTATTTGCTCTCTTCCTCAGAATTCGATTACGATTTACACTGACCTTCTTGGTTTTGATTCTTATATATATAAAATGCCTGATGTTGTTGATTTAACAGTACCAATTTTTCTCTTCAGTTGTCCATTTGCCATAAATTCTCCAGTCTTTGTGGAAATCACTAATTGTCTCAACAGGAGTTATGCTTCCAATGTTTCTTCTGATTCATTTAAGGGACACACATATGCAACCATGGCTGAATTATCAACATCCGATTTGAAAGTCGGGTGTACTGTAGACCTCATGTCAATGACTTCATGGCCTATTCAGGATGCAAATACCAACATTTCTATTTTAAGTTTGCATAATGCTTTGGCATATGGATTTGAGCTTTCATGGTTTCGTGACATTAACTGTCTCAAGTGCCCCCTTGAATATACCTGTGAAGTTGAAAATTCAACTGATGTTCGTTGTGTGGATTTCAGCTGCAAAGCTTACAATTTTAGATTTTTCAAAACGCCGTGTGGTAAGATTGTTCCCAATGTCATTTTGCTGCAAAGCTTACAATTTTAGCAATTTTGTTGTGCAAGTCTTAAATGTTTTTTTTTTCTTTTTTTGGTTCTGTATTTTCTCTTTGGATGACCACAATCAAGTTGATCAAAAACATGTTCTCCGTGTTCTTGCAAGTAAGCAGTCGTACTTCTATTGTCAATTCTGTTTTATTTAACGGTAACTAGTTGCAAGTTAGATTAACTAAATTATTGATTGTTGGTGATTTTGCAGCAATCATCCCTTGGATACTTCCCATAGCTGGTAAGTCACATCTTTCGTCTTTCAAATTTATTTCTAGAAATCATTCTAATGTCGAAATGGAGCAGACGTTGGTGGTTGAATTTTTAATTTAACCATTCACAAACTTTTCTTGCTTATTTGTGATGGTTGTACACAGGGTTTAGCATTGTGGCAAGAGTCATTCTATTTCCATGCATAGTTGTATTTCTAATGATTAAGTTACGAAGAAGGCATTTGTCGATTTATGATGCAATTGAAAGTTTCCTGCACGGTGAGAACAATTTCGCGCCCATTAGATATTCCAACTCCAACATAAGAAAGATGACTAGGAACTTTAAAGAGAAACTAGGCCAAGGAGGTTATGGTTCAGTATATAAAGGCAAGCTTCAAAGTGGTCCTAATGTAGCAGTGAAGATCTTGAGCAAGCCCAAAGCTGATGGGCAAGACTTCATCAACGAGGTTGCCACAATCGGGAGGATTCATCATGTTAACATAGTACAACTTATTGGCTATTGTGCTGAGAGATGTAAGCGTGCTCTCGTGTATGACTTCATGCCTAACGGATCACTTGAAAAGTACATCACACCTCGAGGAGGAGGAGCTGAACTATTAAGTTGGGAAAGAAAGTTTGAAATTGCTCTTGGAGTTGCTCGAGGTATTGAATACTTGCATCGAGGTTGTGACATTCAGATTCTACACTTTGACATCAAGCCACACAACATACTTTTGGATGAGAATTTCATTCCAAAACTATCTGATTTTGGTCTTGCAAAATCATACCAGACGGATAACAGCATTGTTACTCTAACAGCAGCCAGGGGAACAATTGGCTATGTAGCTCCAGAGTTGATCAACAGAAGCATTGGTCCAATATCTTATAAGGCAGATGTCTATAGCTTTGGAATGTTACTCATTGATATCGTAGGCTTGAAAACAAACTCGGCAGCCA